CTTGTTGATATAGAATTTTCAGAAATTGAAAAAATAACATTATCAAAAAATAAATTAAAAAATACAAGTAAATTGGATGATGCAAATGACAAAAAACAAGTAGGAAAAAAAAAAAACAGAGTGAATGTTGAGACAGGCACATTGAATAAAAGAAAAAGAAATGAATTGTAGCATAGGTGAACCTGAAAAGTATTGAAAAAATAGCAACAAAGAGTTATATTATAGATATTATTAAAATAATCTATCTGCATTAAAATTAAATAGTTTGGTCTAAACAAACAATATAATCACATGATTTAATCTCTGCCAATTTCAGTCTGACGATTTACCGAATTAGGGGGATGGCTAAAGCCATGTACCCACGTGATTTTTCCGCAATTTCGAAGTTTTAATTAATATTAGGATTAGGGTTGATTGAGTGTTAGGGTAAGGGCAGGTATATAGGTAAAATTGCCTTCCCGACATTTTTTATTAATGCACCAAGATAGGTTTAGACTGCCGTTTTTTATATTTTTGCATTTTTTTGATTTTTTGACTCCTTCGGGCTGATCCGCGTAAACAAAATTTCGTGAATCCGATTTGTTGATCTACACAAAAAAGTCACATGGGTACATGGCTTTAGAAGACCCCCGAATTAGAAAATCATGTTCTAGAATGATCGACAAATGATTTCGTGAATTTGATTGGCTCCCAGACATTCTTTGTATGGGGTTTTAAATATTTTTTATATTCATTCAATACTGAACGATATATAAATAGATTGTGTTATATGTCTATATTATTTAATCTCATTTAATCTCTTCCTGTAAACTGTTCTTAAAAGGTAAATAAGAGCTTAAAATTACAAATTTTTTTGCGCATTGTTAAATGAAAAAAAATAAATTACTAACTAAAACTATTTTGAAGTAATTTTTTTTAACGTCTAGCTACCAGAAAAAAAAAGCAGCGAAACATAAATATATATTTACAAGTCTGGTTGACATATATAAGAAAGTCAAATTAAGTTTTTGCAGAGAAGGAAAATAGCGAAATGCAAATGGTTTATTAGCAGCTAAGAAAATTAAATATTATAATTATTTTCTAAGCTTGATTTTCTTTAATTTATTTAATACATTACAATCGAGCCATTATAATTAATTAGTTAAGCATCTTGTAGGTTCCAGTCAAGAAAATCAAACGTCCTGCTTCGATATTAATGAGGCAATTTAAAAAAGTTTAAAATTAGATTATTAGTGATATCCCGGGCTCTATTAATTTAATTTGGTGATCTTTATACCATCAATTTATCTCATTGTGATGAATCAAATGGTATAAAAACTACTTAATTTAGATTAATAATTGGTGAGATATCTTTGTATGTGTTTTTTACAAAAAAATAACTATCCCTTAATCCGTATATAAATTTGGGGCAAATTTGCCCTAAATTTTATAAGACTATTTTTACATCATTTAATTATAATTAATATATTATAAATCGATTCCAAAATCAGTAAACAAGAATTAAAACAAATATTTAATAAATTTATTTATTTTTTACTATGAAAATCTTTAAAATAATTAGGCCGCACTTTAGAGCAACAAAGAGGTACATTACATATAATACACCAGAATTGAGTCTGGTAAATTGCACAAATTTTTTTTCTTTTTACCTTTGTCATTATTTTTTATTAAATAACAATAATATAGACATGATTCTCTTATTTTCACTATTCTACTAGATGATTCCCTGAAGAAAGTCGACTTATAGATAGGTTAAAATTTTTAGTAGCATAATCTATCATGTAGTTAATTCTCGTCTCTCTGTGATTATTATGCTAAAGGTAAAATATTGCAAACCAAGGAAAGAATCATCAGCAGCAGCATCATATTCATCATTAGAAGTGTCATTATCAGCAATACTATCACTATTGGTCATAGTATAAGCTGTTCTTTTTTTTTAAAAAAAAAAATGCGAAAAATTAAAAGTGTCGATCTTTTATATTCAAAGAATATCTTCAGAAATTTATTGAACCTTATTATTTTTGTTTGCAGCAAAGATACATCAATACAGGTGTTGTAGTTATGTGTGCGTGCACTGTGCCACAAACAATAGAAGGGTACTTTTAGTAAATTTTAATGGTAGTGTGAAAAATTTTCCGGGGATCAGAAATTCAGGACAAATTTGCCCCGAATACGGATTAAGGGATAGCAAAATTTTATACTAAGTAAATCGATCTTAGTACATTAAATAAAGTTGTTCTTTGCATTGATTTCTACATAATTTTAAAATTTGGCAAATTTTGAAGAATTTTTTATTACTGATATTTTCATTATATTTTACTACGAAATTATCAAATTTTTTGTTCTGTAAAGGCCATAATTTGATTGGCTAATTAGCATGTGATATTGTACAACCGAAATATCTAGAAACATCTGATCGCTATTTTATACCATAAAAGGTGTGATCAACACTACTATATTTGGTAAATCGTCAGGCTGAATTTCAAGGCAGAGATGTTATCGTTGTCTCGTTAAATTGTGTATTATTTAAGATCACACCAATTAATTGATGAAACAATTCATTGATTTAATACTACAAAAAGCTTTATATAAATAAGCTTATAAACTAATAAATACACGAAGGAATTAATCAAATATATTTAGAGAATGAATAGATACGTTAACCAAATTGCTAGAGCTTAGTCACATATAAAGATACTGGTGAAATTAGTCTAAATTGTAGTAGATACGTAGTTAAATTGACAGTTTAAGGGATAATATTAGGGTGCATATTTATCATTATAATGCTAGCAAACGAACAAGAATGAAAGATGAGAAGGCTTCCAACTCACAAAGTTTTGTTATAGAAAGGATCAAATTAATTTTAATATTTATGATAATAAGGAGCAAAGAAATGTCTAATAATAAACTGAAACAAAAAACACCAGTTCCTAAAGAATCTTTTGGATGACACTGAAGCTAGTCAAAGGTTAGTGTAAAATCATATGATTTTGTGGTCCCATGGGACCATGAAATCATATGATCATATGGCAATGATAATTTATTAATAACATTAACACATTTTGTATTTTATTTCTAAGAATTAGAAATAATGATCTTGCAAACAATATTAGAATTACATTTTTTCAAGAAATGAAAATACTTCTGGATTATCAGTTATATATCAAACATTCTTTTATAAACAATATAATAAGTATAATTACAATATTAAAATGAAGCATATTGTATCTCTTCAAGTAAATCAGTATATAATAATAATGAATAGATAATAGCTTCAATATTGTAAACAAATATTTTTGTAAAATATAAATTGTGGTTGCTTATTCTGAGATTGGCTTATGCTACTCATATTTTTATAAAAAATTGGCAGATGTGAAAAAATTAAAAAGAGCATATGGACAATTTTAAAAGTATACAATTTTGTATTGGCGCATTTTGAAACGTTATATAATTTATTTTCGTCACCTCTTTTTCTCATTTTGATGATTATCCTTATCTTTGTCTCCACTAATAGATTACAAGATATAGCTAATATTATCAATTCCAAGATGGATTTTGGTACCTCCCAGAAGAAAAAAATGTAAGTTGTCTTTCAAAAGTAAGTAATATTGGCCAACACTGAAGATTATCAAATTGTATTTTTCATAAATACTATACTGCAGAATTTGGAATAATTATTTAATGCAGGCAAAGATTATCAAAAAATGACAAATATTGTATTACTTTAGATTTGTGATTGGGGCCAGGCAATCCTTATTTGATACATTACATATGACTATGCTCAATTAAACTAGCAATTCTGTTAATAATTTCATAAAGATTAGAATTATACATGGGTGTGCCAAAATTATTTTTGAAAAAGGCATTTTCGGCAAACATTTCGGCACTGCTAAATTTTTTTATATAAACCCACCAAAATAACTATACTTTATGATGTATTCTGATGAGAAGAGTTCAAAAAATTTCGGCAATAATTTCGGCAAATATGAAAATTAATTTCGGCATATATAAGACTAATTTCGTAATTACTTTTTTTATTAAGATAGATAATTTCAGCACCCATGTATAATTGGAACAACTATTTATATAACAGTATACAATCTGAAATTGTTGACTACTAAAATGCATCAATTCAATATTAAAAAATTAAAACAGCTATCTATATCATAAAGGTAGAAACAACTATTTATATAACAGTATACCAATCTGCAAATTATTGACTACTAAAATGCATTGATTCAATATTCTCAAAAATTAAAATAGCTCTCTACATCATAAAGACAGTATACAATCTGCAAATTGTTGACTACTAAAATGTATTGATTCTATATTCTCAAAAATTAAAGTAACTCCTACATCAAGAAAAAAACATTTATAACAGAATCATATTATCACTTCTTAGTACCCTTTGGTGTCCCTATCATTACAAACGTCTGCTTAATGCCATAAACAGTACCCTTATTTGGCTTTTTGGAATGTCTAAACTTGTATCGATAAAATAGCATTCTAACTGTTTTAATAACAGCAGTCTTAAAATATTGCAAATTTCTATATGAATCAAATATTCAAACGGACTAAGTCAAGTAAAGGTAAAAGAATAGCAAATATACCCGCAGTTCTAACAGTAGTTGCATCAGTTCATAAACTTGCTCAGGCTTGCTTTGAAACAGCGGAATCTCAACTTAATGCATCTTAACAAAACGATAATATCCTTCTTTGGTTTTGGAAAAAATATGAATCGATAAATATCGCCCTAATATAAAATAACAAATAAGAAATCTTGTATAAAGACAACATTAAGCTTCCTATCACTGCCTTTAACATTAAGACAAAATATCTTTGTCAATTCTTCATACTCACATTTTTTTACACTTCCGTTGATGGAAAAATCCTCAAAGGCATCCTTAGCGCTACGTGCCAATTTATTATGGTCAGACAATTGTTTCTTCCAATCTGATTCTGGCCGTCCTGTTTCCATATTAACTAATTCAAGTTCTTTGTCACCGATTTTAACACGTAGCATGAAATCTGGCTTATTCCCATGTAACTGTTTATGAGCCTTACTCGAAGAACTCTCAACTTCTCCCCTAATTAAGGATGTGAGAATTAAAAACTTGCAAGAATATGATGAAAAAAAAGAAAATATTACCAATTTGTTTTATGTATTACGGGGACTGGTAATTCTGCAAATGTAGCAGTTAGCAAAGGTGCTAATACCTCTGCAATGTACGTGCCTTCATTAACTTGGTCTAGTGCACTTGCCATCATAGCATAATGTTGTGTCCTCCATACATTCTCTCTACAATCGAAAATAAAAGGTAAATAAAGATTTTTACTAAGAACAATAAAATATATATCATACAAAGCATTTGATATTCTTCTTGAGAATTTTATTATATCTTTTCTCTTGTCGAACAAGCTTCCATATTCTACTTTATTTTCAAACCGTTTTTTCTTTTGCTTCTTCCACGTTTGATGGTTTTTTACCAAATTTTCTGAAGCTTGTTTTAAATCGGAATTGCTATCAAGCTTCATTTCCAAAATGCCCATCTATTTGGAAATAGTTATTCTTAACTTAATTGTAATAATATTTTGTGCAATTATTGTTAAATACCCGAAATTCTTCTTGACAATCTTGTGGCAGGTTTTTAACTAAGTTGTATTCATCACATATAATGCCACTTGCTAATGGATTATCATATGTCAAATTATCAGTACTCGTATTATTTAATTCTTTGAGTAGTTGGGAACAGAGACGTGAGCGAGCACTCCGCTTGAATACATCTTTTGATTCTATAAATTGTTTTTTAATAAAAAAAAGAATTGATTTATATCTAAAATTAGAACACAATATAATATTCACATTTCTTACCAAGACAGTTTTCAGCTTACTGATATTTTCACTAGCATCTTTTTTCCACTCAGCGACTTCTACTGGCTGAACAAACTTTGGATTTAAATTTATTCAGTATTAATTATTAATATATAGGGTTTAAAGAAGTTACTGTTATCAACGCGCCCGCCTTTATCAGCGCTTTAAGGGCTTTAAATTGAATTGCGACCTTTATTAAGGTATTTAAATTAGTTAAATAACTTCAAAATTTTTATTTGAAAAAAAAGCTTTAGATCAAATTTCTGTATTCTCACTGGTAGCATAATAAATTTGCCCTGTTGTCTTTTATCACAATGAACATCTTCGCAGGCAAAAGCCTGTTACTATAACATAGTATGATATAATTTTAACCCTATTACGACATATCACTACGAACATTTTCGCAGAAAATCTGTTACTGTAACGTATGCTTGCTATATTTTTGCAATATCGCAAACTGTAATTGTCTTGAGTGCTAAAAAAGTACCTTTGGGCTAATAACGTTATGCTTACAAGCAAGATTTTCATCACATTCTCATGAGCCTTAGCATATAGGACAACCAGATATTACTCAACTTTGGTATCTTCAAGAGACTTTAATTTTTCGGTACGTATTTTTTCATTTTTTAGAGACAAGTTGTTAAGTATCTTTTCTTTTGTCTCGACAAAAACTTTAACCT